GCCCGACCCGGGCATTGGTACTGCTGCTCCAGGTGCTGGTGAGGCTTCTGCTCTAGGTGCCAGTGCGTCTGTGCTCTCAGGTGCTCGTGAGACTGCTCTCTCAGGTACTAGTGCGCCTGCGCTCTCAGGTACTGCGTCGGCTTCGGCCTCCCACACCTTCACTCTTAACTCTGGAGCGTCTCGCTCTTTCTTTCGGGACCGCACCACACTTACGCCGCTTAGTCGGCCGGTTGCGGTTTCCCTGGCTGACCCCTCTGGGGGTCCTGTCCTGGCTCGCTTCTCCACACTCCTCCCGTGTCCGGCGGCTCCCTCTGGCACCCTGTCTGGTCTCTACCTCCCCTCGTTCCCTACGAACTTGGTGAGTGGTGCTGACCTACAGGATGCGGGAGTCCACCAGTTCACCCCTGCTAGTCAGCGAGTGACGCACTGCACGGAGGCTAGCACGGGTCGTCACCTGGCTACGTTTACACGTCAGCCAGGGTCGAGCCTGTACACACTGACCACTGCTTCTCCTCCAGGTGCTGAGTCTGGTAGAGTCCCTTCGTCTGGTCAGGTGTTTGCTGCAGCGTCCAGGTCTGGTCCTGAGTCTGCCCCCTGTTCGTGTCGCCGTCTGTCTCACGAGACCCTCCTCTGGCACCACCGCCTTGGCCACCCCTCTCTGCTTCGGCTCAGAGGCATGGCCTCCCGCCTTCTTGTGTCTGGTCTCCCCCGGTCTCTACCTCCCCTTCCTCAGGGCCCTGGCCCTGCCTGTGTCCCCTGTGTCGAGGGGCGCCAGCGTGCTGCCCCTCACTCCTCCCAGTTTCCTCCGAGAGAGGCTCCGTTGCAGACGCTTCACATGGACGTGTGGGGCCCTGCCCGCGTCCGTGGACTCGGTCATGAGCGCTACTTCCTGCTGGTGGTTGACGACTACTCGCGTTACACCACAGTCTTCCCCTTGCGCAGCAAGGGTGATGTCACTGAGGTGCTGATCGTCTGGATCCGCGCAGCTCGTCTCCAGCTCAGGCAGAGCTTTGGCTCGGACTTTCCTGTGTTGCGTCTGCACTCGGACAGAGGCGGAGAGTTCTCCTCTGGCCTTCTGCGTGCCTACTGTCGTGCGCGAGGCATCCGCCAGACCTTCACGCTTCCGGACTCTCCGCAGCAAAATGGGATTGCAGAGCGCCGCATTGGCATGGTCATGGACGTCGCTCGTACGTCCATGATGCATGCGGCTGCCCCCCATTTTCTGTGGCCGTTTGCGGTCAGGTACGCAGCGCATCAGATCAACCTCCACCCCAGGGTCTCCAGGCCGGAGACCTCCCCAGCGCTGCTGTGGACGGGGAAGGTTGGCGATGCGTCGGCGTTCCGGGTCTGGGGATCTCGGGCGTTTGTCCGCGACTTGTCTGCGGACAAGCTGTCCCCTCGTGCTGCTCCCTGCGTCTTCCTGGGGTTCCCCCCCGACGCCCCTGGGTGGCAGTTCTACCACCCCACCTCTCGACGTGTTCTGTCCTCCCAGGACGTCACGTTCGACGAGTCGGTACCCTACTACCGCCTCTTCCCCTACCGCACTCCGTCCCTCCCCCCGCCCCCGCTCTTCTTGATACCAGGTCCCCCCCCGGTAGACCCCCTCCCCCCTCAGGGTCCTGCCCCTTCAGGTGTGTCCCAGGTAGACGTGGTGGAGCCTGTCGAGGACACTGGTGACTCTGGTGCGGCTGCGGGAGCTGAGCCTGGGGGTACTGAGACTGGAGGTGCTACGCCTGCGGGTGCTGAGCCTGGGGGTGCGGAGTCTGGAGGTGCTGAGCCTGGGGGTGCTGTGCCTGGGGGTGCTGAGCCTGGGGGTGCTGAGCCTGGGGGTGCTGAGCCTGGGGGTGCTGAGCCTGGGGGTGCTGTGCCTGCAGGTGTTGAGCCTGGGGGTGCTGTGCCTGGGGGTGCTGAGCCTGAAGGTGCTGAGCCTGGGGGTGCTGAGCCTCGGGGTGCTGAGCCTGGGGGTGCTGAGACTTGGGGTGCTCCGCCTGGAGGTGCTTCGTCTCGCCGAGAGCCACTCTCCCCTCAGGAGCTACGTGAGTGGTTTGCCAGGCGCTGGAGGCGTGCTGCTGGTGCTGGAGGTTCTTCGGCTACAGAGGGTACTGCTGCCGAGCGTCCCGGCGGTGCTCGTACTGTGGGTGCTGGAGCTGCTGGGTCTGAGGGTTCTCCTGGAGCTGGTGCTGCTGAGGGTGTTGACGCTGAGACTGCTGCTGGAGGTCCGACTGGCGGTGCTCCTGGTGGTGCTGCTGGAGGTTCTCGAGCTACTGGAGGTGCTGCTGGAGCGGGTACTCCTGCTGAGGGTACTGGTGCTGTCCCTGCTGTTTCTGGCGTCGCCGAGCGGCCCCGGCCGTACTTCGTTCCGCTCCTGCAGCAGGTTCTTGGTCTTACACCTTCTCCTGGTCCTCCTCCTCCTCCCTTAGAGGGTCCACAGCCTGTCTCGTCACAGTCACAGCTAAAGCCTGCCTCTCCTTTGCCTACTCCTTCTCCCTACGCTGGTCCTACTGGAGGTCTTACTGAGCGTCGTGAGCCTGCGTCTCGTCCTGCGTCGCCTGTTCGTACTGCGCGCGCTAGTGGTCGCGGTTCGCGTCAGCGTCCTCCTCCTGTCCCTGGCACGCACCGGATGTCTTTGCGTCCGTCTACTGCTCCTCTGCGTGCCCCTTTGCCTTCTCCTCCTGCTTCCTCTCTTCCTGCTCTTGCCGACCCGGAGTCGGACTCTCTTCGTGCTGCCAGTCCTACTGTCACGCGTCTCCTTGCTACTGCTGTCACTGACCCTTCTTTCGAGTCTTCTGCTGCGTCTGCCCTTGTCACTGAGCTCGTCGACTTTGCTGCGCGCTGTCGTCTAGACTACGCTGCTAGTCTTGTCGCTGAGTCTGAGTCTGCCTGTCCTCCGTCCGTCGGGGGTGAGTGTGCCCTTGGCACGGACGTCCTTGAGGACAGGCAGGAGGAGTTCCAGTGTCTGGCCGCCGCTTCACCTCATCTCGCGTCTGTACTGCTAGCCCCTGAGGGAGACCCGGATGCACTAGACATCCCGACTCCGCGCTCTTACGCGGAGGCGATAGAGGGTCCCTACTCCTCACAGTGGCAGGCAGCTATGGATGCAGAGATGGCTTCCTGGAAGTCCACAGGCACCTACGTCGACGCTGTTCCCCCTCCTGGGGCGAACATCGTCAGTGGCATGTGGATTTTCAGGGTGAAGCGGCCGCCGGGTTCTCCGCCTGTCTTCAAGGCGCGTTACGTGGCTCGTGGCTTCAGTCAGCGGCAGGGGGTTGACTACTTTCAGACCTTCTCCCCCACCCCGAAGATGACCACTCTTCGGGTACTGCTGCACGTTGCTGCTCACCGTGACTACGAGCTGCACTCTCTCGACTTCAGCACAACTTTCTTGTAGGGCAGCCTGCACGAGGAGATCTGGCTGCGTCGCCCACCTGGCTTCACTGGGTCTTTCCCTCCTGGTACCCAGTGGAGTCTCCGGCGTCCAGTCTACGGTCTCCGCCAGGCGCCACGTGAGTGGCACGACACACTGAGGACTACGCTGGCGGCACTTGGGTTTGCTCCTTCTACTGCCGACCCGTCGCTGTTTCTGCGCACCGACACCTCTCTGCCGCCGTTCTACATCCTCGTGTACGTCGACGACTTGGTCTTTGCCACAGCTGACACTGCTGGACTCGCCTACGTGAAGTCCGAGCTGCAGAAGAGACACACGTGCACTGACCTGGGTGAACTGCGCAGCTACCTTGGCTTGCAGATCACCCGGGACAGAGCACGCCGCACCATTTCCCTGACTCAGTCACACATGGTGCAGCAGGTCCTTCAGCGCTTTGGCTTCACGTACTCCTTGCCTCAGGCCACTCCTCTGCCTACTCGCCACTCGCTCTCAGCTCTGCCTTCGGATGAGTCCGTAGAGTCGAGTGGCCCGTATGCAGAGCTTGTTGGCTGCCTCATGTACCTGATGACCTGCACACGACCTGACCTTGCATACCCTCTTAGCATTCTTGCACGCTATGTTGCTCCTGGGAGACACCGACCAGAGCACATGGCTGCAGCGAAGAGGGTGTTGCGCTACTTGTGCAGTACGTCGGGCATGGGGCTAGTGCTTGGAGGGCGCAGTCCAGTGGTCCTCACTGGGCACGCGGACGCTTCTTGGGCTGACGACCAGGCTACGCAGCGGTCGTCACAGGGTTACACCTTCAGCCTTGGTTCCGGCTCTATTTCGTGGCGGGCTACCCGCTCGTCTTCTGTTCTCGGCTCCAGTTGTGAGGCTGAGATCTACGCCGGGGCTATGGCTGCACAGGAGTTACGCTGGCTCACCTACCTGTTGACCGACCTTGGAGAGCCGCCTCGTTCTCCTCCAGTCCTGTACGTAGACAACAAGGCCATGCTGGCCTTGTGTCGAGAGCAGCGACTGGAGCACAGGACAAAGCACATTGCTCTCCGCTACTTTCTTGCTCGTGAGCTACAGCAGCGTGGACAGTTGCGACTTGCGTACGTGGCCTCTGAGGCCAACACTGCTGATGTCTTCACCAAGGCACTTGCGCCTTGTGATCATCAGCGTTGCTGCACGCAGTTGGGTCTTGTGCCTGTCTTGCCTCACTTGCTCACTTCTTGACCTTGCTTGTACCTCGACCTATATATATACTCTTGCTCTTGCTTGCTTGACTCTTGTATATCTCTATATATGGTCTTGCATGTGAACTGGCCTTGTGGCCCTTGAACTTGTGCTCGGAATGTGTGGTGACTTTGTGATCCACCCTGAGCTTTGCTTTGTTTTGCTTGACTGGTCTTGTGACCCCTTGTTCTCCCCCACTTTGCCTATGGGGGTGTGTTAGAATATTATAGCTTACTTATTTGTGTAGGCTATAGTGGGGTATCCCATAGGGGGTACAACCCAACTAGAGTTTCCTATTTGTACTCACTTCATTCATAGTCATTTCATTCTCGTTCTAACTTTCTCAGGCGGGAATACTAGATTGGACTGGCAAAGTCGGCGATGTTAAAACATCTTACTTGGTGTCGGCTTTGTTCTTTCCGCGAACCATGACGCGCACTTCCGTGCGGACGACCGAGATGTCCTGCATGATGTGCAGCTCCTTCTCCTTGTACAGGGTCGCCTCTACCTTGGCCGCCATCTGAAGGGCCTTGATGCGGCCGAGTAGCATGTTGACCGTGCAAGGCTTGATCGGCTGCGTGCGCATGGCGGTGTTGCCCTCTTCGCTCCTCATTGCCTCGATGAGGGTCTCTCGCGCTCTGAACAAGACGTATGCGCGAATTCGAGGCTTGTTGGTCCTCGGGCCGTGCAACCAGATGAACCGGCGCGGGGCGGTGTACCAACGTTCGCCCAAATCATCGCCGATGTGCTTGCCGATTTCGTCCTTGTCAGTGAGTATGGACCCCGGCTCCAGGTCGTCACCTTCTGACGGAAGAGCATCCACCGCCCACCGCTTGTAGTCTAGTATCCACGATATGTACTGCCGCAGCGACGACCCTTCCTCGAGCTTCTCCGTGTGGCGAAGGGCATTGGCTATCAACACTTCGATGTCGCTGTTCTTCAGATCCTCGACCACAAACTCAGCCGCAGTAAACTCTCCTCGTGGGATGCTCGCGTGCAGCCTATCCTCGAGTTCGTCCTCGGCCAACGCCTCCTCTATCTCTCTTCGATCCCTCTCGGCTCGAGTGAGCGGCCGACGTTGGCGTCTAGGTCCCGGGCCGGGCTGGGGTTCCTCCTCCTCATCGCTAGACGAAGAGTCCTCCTCCGGCTGGCTAGGACGTCGCTTTTGGGGGTCGCCTACAGGTGGCGGCGGAATGTCATGGTCGACGGGAATTTTAGCCAACGCATCTAGATCGTAAATCAGACGCAGCGTCGTTGCCGGAATGGTGGTGGGGCGGACGCCGGCCGGCGTTGTGGCGTCACCGGTCAGGTTCACCCGCGCCTGGGCTGCCAGCGGAACGTAGTCCGACATGTTGGCCTCGGCCGTATGTCCTAACAGCGCTTGTTGTCTACTGAGGGCCAGCCGGCGAGTTGGTCGGCGGGTCGGGCATAAAATGGCGGTATTGGGTAACGGCGGCGGTATACTGTTGCTGCGTTGTGTTCGCTTCTAGTGACCTAGTGACCCTAGTGTCTGTCTCTAAGCGGGCGGCGAGAGAAGCTTGCGCCAACTGCGCGGCGATGTCCCCCTCAGGTGGGTTTGTTTCCGGCGGCGTTGCACCAGGCCGGTCGCCGACCACGCACAGTGCAACCCTGAACCAGTCTCGGCCTTTCTCCACGGATCTGGCCGATTGTGCCTCCCGTTTAAAACGGGCGACGAAACTGTGAAATCGGCTACTACGACCAACGAAACCCAGTGCCCCGATAATCGGTCTCACCTGTTGGTCGGCGTCAGACGCCGGAGCCGCGGTGTTCTCCGCAGAGCGTGTCCTGGTGGAAAAAAACTAAGGGTGAGAGCGCAGGCGTAAGAAGTGACGAAAGGAAGTGGGAGTAGGAAAAATGGCTAGTGGCAGCTTGGCTCCGGAGAGGTCATGGACGTGCGCGGCTCGGCACATGCCATCGTGCAGGCAAGGTTCTGTACACTTGGCATTCATGCCGCTGTCCACGCGAGGCGGCGCATTCTCCGACGTGCCACGGCTCTCGCATGGCCACTACAACGCCGCCGTGACTGTCCATGAAGGTATTTCGTAAGGCATGCCACGGCAGCAATACAAGGCGCGCCGAGGCTTGTGGCATTGGTCCAGAGTCCATTCATGGCGCACTCGTGCCACCGGTGATTGGCATCATGAGATACTTTGACGCCGACTTTGCGGACACCGCAGGTTCATCACGAGATACTTTGACGCCGACTTTGCGGACACCGCGGGTTCTGTTTTCCCGCGCAAGAAATAGTCCTCCGATGTTCGACACTTGGACCCGGCATCGCCGTTCGATGTACGCCGCGTGTCCGGCGCCGACATTTATCCTGCCCCCACATCTGATTCCTGTGCACGTGCCAGGCCGCCGATGCTCGACACCTGGACCCTGCCTCGCCGGTCGATGCTCGCCGACATTTCGGTGCCCACCTGTTCCTCTTCAGCGCTCAATTTGACCGCCGATTTCTTCCACGTAGACTTACCCCGTGACGCCGATTGACGCCGCGTGTCACGCACCGACATTCTCACGGCCCGCGCGTTCTTTCTCGCGCGACGCTTGAGGCGTGGTCGGGTGACGCGTGGACGCCTCTGTGGACGCCGACATTCGATGGAGGTCGGACATAATCCAGGTCGTCCGTAACCCGCCGCGTGTCGTGCATCCGCGGTCGACGTGTCCTGCTGGCAACTCGCCACGCGTTGAGATATACCCTGTGGGTATTTCTCAGCCCACGGGAATGTCGACGGTCGTTCGGCGTTCCCTAGGGCTCCGTGCCCCAGTCTGCCATACAATTTCCGACGGTCGGACGGCGAGCTGAAATGGAACCCTGTCGGTTATGTGCGGCGAAAACGGGCGGGGGAATTCGTCCGCTGAGCTATATCATGCTGTACAGATATGGGTACACACTGTATCTCGCTTCTTGAAACTACGGGAGGGGAGAGGGAGGGGGGGGGGGGGGTGGGGGGGAGGGGGGTGGGTGGTTTCGGCTCCCGCCTCTCGCGTGCTGTGCTAGGCGACGGCGTCAGAAACAAAAATGACGCGGGCAAAATGATGCAGGAGCGAAAGATGGGGGGGGATTGGCGGGATGAGGCAGATATCTTCCCTGACACCTTGCTGAATTGCCGGATATTTCATCGCCTTTTTCGCCACCAGCTCTGGCAGGATCTTGGAGTTGGTGGCGGCAAGAGTTGCAACCTCCGGTAGGCGGGACGTGAGAGCTCCAATTCTTCAACTGGGCGTTGGGGCGTGTCCAGTTCGTTCATTTCGGGATTTTTCGTGCCAACACACGTATGGAGGTTCAAAAATGACCACCGTACCTAGAAACGAATGCATTGTGAGTAGAGTTGTCACAGGATCGAATTCTCAATCGAAACTTGTCACTAAAACTGAATACAAGGCCTATTTATACTCGGAAAGTACAAGGATAAACGAGATAAAACGAACCTTCGGGAACACACCCTTCCCGATACTACAATCACAAGTGCGCATAAGCACGCAAGTCTATTGGCACTTGGGATTACGCCCAGATTACACCGTATACACCACTGTCGGCGCTGTCGGTGCCGTATAATAGGTATGTCGGTGGGAAAAGTAGGAAATAAGAGAAATAAATAGAAGGCTCTAGAAAATAGAATAGTAGGCCGATAGAGATGAGATAAAGACCAAAATAAAGAGGAGAAAAGGGAGAATAGGATAACGGAAAAATATAATAGTGAGAAAATATTATAACGGGGACGTCCTCTCACACTTCCCCCCCTCAAAGCTGGGTGGTAGAAGTAACACCCTGCTTGACAAGGTAGTCCTGCAGAGGACGGCGGGCGTTATCCATGTCGTGTTCAGGTACCCAGGTATCCTCGGAAGGATCATAGCCTTTCCAACGAATCAAGAACTCCAAGGTGCCGCTACGTCGTCGTCGGTGCGCCAGAACGGCTTCGACTTCGTACTCGGGTTCCCCATTAACGATCACTGGCAGTGGCGGCGGCGGCTGGCGACCTTTGAAGACCGTGTTTGGGTCCCGATAGGGCTTGAGAAGTTGAACATGGAAGGCATTGTGAATCCTCCAGGTAGCTGGTAAACGCAAGCGGAAGGTTACTGGAGTGACCTGCGCCTCGACGAGAAAAGGTCCGCAGAAGCGAGGTCGGAGCTTAGACGGAAGATGGCTAATGTCGAGATTGCGTGTATCCAGAAGCACCTGATCGCCAATCTGGATGGAATGATCGTTGCGACTCCGATCAGCGAGCTTCTTTTGTTGCTGCTGGATAGTTAGAAGACGTTTATGCGTGCGCTCCCACAATTGGTGCATAGTGGAAATGAAGTCATGTGCGGGTTGCACCGTGGCGGGTACTGTTGGTTTCTGAGGCGTGAGTGGGTTGCGACCGTAACAGAGGAAAAAAGGAGTTTGCCCTGTTGCGGCGTGCGTGGCGTTGTTGTACGCGAACTCGAGAACCGGCAGATGTGCATCCCATTTAGAGATATCGTCCTTACACGCTGCTCGCAGAAGCTGTTCGACAATCTGGTTGAGGCGCTCTGTCTGACCATCTGTTTGGGGATGATAGGCTGATGACATGGCGAGTTTGGTCCCCATGAGCGACATGAGCTCCTTCCAGAATTTACTCGTGAATTTCGGATCTCTGTCGGAGATCAGCGTGGTTGGAATGCCATGTTGCGAGATGACGTAGCGGAAGAATATTTGCGCTGTCTCCTCGACGCGAGCCGTTGTGTGTGTCGGAATGAAGTGTCCCATTTTGGAGAATTTGTCGATGACGACTAGAATGGCGTCGTAACCAGCTTTGGTAGGTGGTAACCCGGTGATGAAGTCGAGGCTAACCACTTGCCAAGGCTGTTCAGGGACTGGAAGAGGCTTCTGTTTGCTGCTCTTCATCCGTTGGCATGTGTCGCACGAGGTGACGAATTTTTGTACGTCATCCGCCATGTGGAGCCAATAATAATGCTTCGCAATACCGGCAAGCGTCTTGTTACTACCGAAGTGGCCTGCGTAGAGAACATCATGATATTCTTCGAGCAGTAACTGGCGTAAGGGAGGGTAATTAGGTACCCATATTTTTTTGGAGCCCTTGCGGTATGCGATGTCTTGATCCCAATGTAGAAGATGGCGCTTTTCTGCTACAGAGACTTCGGGGTCGATGGTGTATCCATGCGTGAAGAGTCCCTTCAGAAGTGGGTTCATGCCATCGATTTGTAAGGCGGCAACGTGTGCAGGGCGACTCAGTGCGTCTGCCTTGTTCTTGTGCCCCGGCTTATACACGATGTCGTAATGGAAGTGGGTTTCGAGAAAGTCAATCCACCGGACCTGCCGCCTGGAGAGTGTTGGTTGGGTCTTCAGGTACTTGAGGCTGCAGTGGTCGGTGTAGACAGTCGTTTTTCTTCCTTCGAGATAACACCTCCATGCCTTAAATGCGTTGACGATGGCGAGGGCCTCTTTGTCATGGATGGGGTAATTGAGTTCTGCCCGGTGAAGTTTTTTACTGAGGTATGCAATGGGTTGTAGTCCCTTCCCTTGATCCTGCATGAGTACTGCGCCCACTGCTTGATCGCTAGCATCGGCCTCGATGACATAGTCAAGTTCAGTGTCTGGCAGGATAAGAACAGGTGCGGACGTGAGTGCGGTTTTAAGTTGTTCCACGGCTTCCTGGTGCTTCGCCTCCCATTGATATGGTGTATTCTTCTTCAACAGGTTCGTTAATGGTGCGGCAATCTTGGCGTAGTTCGGTACGAACCGGTTGTAGTAGTTGGCGAATCCAAGGAACCGTTGTAACTCCTTCACGTTCTCAGGGGTCTTCCACGTTCGCACTGCTTCGATCTTCTTAGGATCCACGTGAACTCCTTGAGCGCTCACCATATGTCCAAGGAACTGGACTTTTTTCAACGCAAACTCGCTCTTGGATAGTTTCACGTAGAAGCGTTCTCGTCGAAGAATTTCAAACACCCGTCGTAGATGCTCAACATGCTGCTTCATATCTTTCGAGTAGATCAGGATATCGTCCAAATATACCACCACGCACTCGTCCAGAAGGGGCCGAAGGATGTGGTTCATTTCCGCCTGAAATGTGGCTGGTGCATTAGTGAGTCCGAATGGCATCACGAGATACTCGTATGACCCGTACCGAGTTCGAAAAGCGGTTTTGTGGATAGAGTTGTCCGCCATACGAATTTGCCAGTATCCTGATCTGAGGTCGAGCTTGGAGAATACCGTAGCACCGCGAAGTTGATCGAGTAAGTCGTCGATTCGTGGTGTCGGGTATTTATTTTTTACAGTCTGCTTGTTCAAGGCTCGGTAGTCGATGCACATTCGCAGACTTCCGTCTGGCTTCGTAGTGAAGA